GTGGGTCTTTGGTGGAGTTCTTTATGCGAATCCTCGTATTTTTTGGGGGTTACAGGGCAAGGGCTTTTTGGTTAGGTTCCCTCATCCTGGCCGTATAACCACCAAAAATCCCTAGGATTCATATTTAAGGAACCCAAATAAAGACCCGGGGCTTCTTGAATCTTCCCACGGTAGGTCACTACAAACCCTAAACCCCTAAACCTTACACGCTAAACCTTCAGCCCTAAACTCTAAACCCTAAACCCTAAACCCTAAACTCTAAACCCTAAACACAGACCTTCTCTTCTGTGTATGCCTCGATGAGGCGGGCAAGACGCGCAAACTGTGTGAAAGGCCGCTGCGCTTTAAAAAAAAATCGCAGACCTTAAGCCCTAAACTCTAAACCCTAAACCCTAAACTCTAAACCCCAAACCCTAAACCCTAAACCCTAAACCCTAAACCCTAAACCCTAAACCCTAAACCCTAAACCAACCATCTCTTCAGAGCCGCAAGGACTTCGAGAAGCGTGCGGCCGAATTGGCCACGCAGCTCCAGGAGCCGCTGCGTTGTCGGGGTTTGGAGGCTTTGTGTTATATGGGTGGTTGTCAAAATTAGGGTCCCTTTTTGGGGTACCCTAAATAAAAGGTGCCGTATTATAATAAGGACCCAAAAAGGGACCATGATTTTGACAATCACCCATATACGATGCACTATATGGGTAGTTCTCTAAATTAGGGTTCCCCTTTTTGGGGTCCTTTTTTATAAGGGTGCCGCACTATGTTGGGGACCTAAAAATAAAAGGGACCCTAATTTGGGGAACTACCCGTATACTAGGTGGCACTTCGGGAAACTTTCACATTCCCCTTATGCTCCCCCTTACGCTCCCTGTAGAGTTACCTGTTCATAAATACTTTTAAGGGCCCCAAAACTACAAACCAGCATTTACATGTTGTACTATCTGCTATATACTATATCATACATTATACATAATTCGCTGTATCTTCTTAGTTACATATTATACGCTATATTATTACACATTGTAGGTTGTATATGATGTAGTGCATTTTTGGAATAAATATTGCATATTTTATTTTCTATATTACACATTGTATATTCTGTTTATATGTTAGGTATTATTCTGTATACTATGTACTAGAATCGAATCCTTTATTACAGAATATAGGTTATATTGTTCTATGCGTGAGGGTTTGATCTTGATATACTGTATGTTCGCTCACCCCACCGAGCTTCTTGTTGAAGTTGTGGTTGCCTATACACACGCGCTGAGTAACGTTACCCAAGCAGGCACCTTCAAGTCTCTTTTCGCTTTTTCGCGATACAGCTGAAGTGTCTGTGCAGGGGGCGATACACGCAATTGCAGATATCCTAGTGTTCTACCTTTATCCTCTGCCTCGTGCTCTTCGAGCTCGTGGCTTCGGTTTGACCTTTGACTTGAGCCAAACATTCGCCGGAGTATGTCTCATAGCCGATCGGCCAACATGGTTGTCCAAGACAGCCCATGTGGCATATCAACATGGTCGTCCAAGACGGCCCATGTGATGTATGTTAACATTGCACTAGGCATCGAGGTCCCTTCACACCCCCCATGAGTGAGGCTTTCAGCTTCGCTCACGAAAAGAAGAGAGTAGTGGGACCTGAAAAGAAAGAAATCTCAACGGCGATGTTGGTCTATTGCGTGTAGAGATGCCCAATTAAGCGCTGCGTGAAAACGTGACTACGTTGGGTGCGATCCCCGGCTTCGGTGAAAAGTGAAGGGAGGCACTCAAAGAAATATGCGCGAAATGTAGCGCAATGAGTCATGTCCTCATAGCGAAGAAGTAATCGATGAATGCGACAATGTGCAGGTAGTCCGTCAGTTGTGCCACCGATTATCGTAGGCACGCTGATTACGCTGCCATCGATCGCGTCGTGGATGTTGTGGAGGAGGAGCAGGCTCTTCGGCTTCTTCATCACGTCGGCGACGTTGACGATGTCCTCGAGCTGCTTCAAGTTCCGCGGCTTCCGTAGAGGTGACAGGAGTATCCATGATCCTGTTTGGTAACTCTGGGATGTTCGCCGGCACGTGCGCCAAGGCTGCTGGATTTCTGGAATTACCAGCCGACTGCCGTGTGGCGGTAATGCGTTGGCGGAACGGTGCTGGTAGCTGAATGCCGCTGTCGATCAAGAGTGCAAGTAGCTCCACTGGGATTTGCTTGCTACCCAACATCTGTGCAATACCGCAAGGGTCAATGCACAGGACGTGGTCGGTAGTCGTGCTGATGCTAGGACGCAGCATGGTGAAGTTGTTGTACCCAGTAACTTTGCCGACGACTTTCTGCAGCAACGCATAACAGCTTGAATGCATCTGGGGTGCAGTGAGTTGTTGGTTTGCACGTAGGTGATTGGCGGGATTGAACCGCTCTCTTCCAATGCCCAGCTGCGATGCTCCCCTCATGAGTTTGGAAATCAACTGATTGGTTCGAAACTTGATGAGCAGGAATTCACCATCGGGATCCTCGTCCATGCGTTTGCTTCGACCATAGGCGAGAACCTCTTCGTCATGGACATCTCTAGATAGCAACGTATCAGGGTCCACTTCGGAAAGAGCCGGGCCCCAGTTGCCGAGAGCGTCGTGGCGACTTCCTCGTTCGAACAATTGTATCATGCCCTGTCGTGGGAGATCCAACCACTTCATGTTTGCCCTCCAGTTCTTGTAGATGTAGCTGCATATGACATAAGCCATGTAGCGTGCCAATATCAGATTGGGGTCCACGGCACATGCTTTGTCCACTTGGATGTAGATGGGAACTTGCAAGTTGGCCCTTGCGTGTTCTAGATCTCGGTCAATGTGGTAGCTGATGTCACCAACCAATACCGGAATTCGCGAGCTGACTGTTTCGGGGTCATCCTCGTCATCCTCTGGTTCAGGGTCCTCTGGCGCTGGTTCAGGTGCATCAGGACCAAGATCTACCGCATCATGAGGTTCAGGCTCAGCAACAGTTTGCTGGTCTTCCTCAATCAGTGGATCTTCGTTTGCGGCCGTCTCAGCTTGTTCAAGTGAACGATTGATCACGTCGCTGGGGACCTCCCATGGAGACTCCTCCTGGCGCACTGTGCGATGGAACCTTCCAACTGAGAACAAATCTGTGAAGCACGTTGCACATCGTGACAGGCATGACGGTGTTTGCTGTAGGCACCAAGGGCAAAGTCGATAACGAAGGTCATGGTCTCGACGGCTTCGAGCTTGCTCCATTGGTGGTGTATGTTTGATAATGAAGTTGATGGCGTCCTCGTAGAGCCTGTTGTAGCGTTGCCAATCAACTGTACTCCAGTCTACGCCAGAGTAATCTCCGAGTCTCGCCACGAACTGTTCCTTGGCTGCGTCGTGTGGACCATTCGGCATTTCGCACAGCAGTTCCATAAGTCTCTCGGTCGTCCTGTTTCGAGTAAACTCCTTCGCAATTGGTGACGTGCTGTACTTGGTACAAATTTCGTCTTCCAACTCATAGTCCAAGAGCTTCTCCACAAGGTCAAATCCGCGATGACGTCGATCGTCGGGTATGCAAAGCCATACTTCTTTGACGAATCGGAAAGGAACGGGTTGCTGCAGACGATGATGCCGCTTTCGGTAATTCTTCCTCCAGCTCTGACGAGGTCGATGATCGGAACGTAGAGCACGATTAGAGGCAGCGATGTATTGACGCTTGACCTCACCCGTGTTACCTCGTTCCTGGTATCGAATGGCGCAAATACCCCCCAGTGACTGTGGAGTCTTCCCGATGCACGGCGGTCCTCCATGAGATCCCGGCCGGCTTTAATACCTCCTTCCATGATCTACTTGAGGCTCGGTTGTGTGGAACGCACCTTGGACGGCATTCTATGCTGATAGACATTGCGAACTTGGACGGATCAATCTCCATGCCGGTGAGGCCAATGTGACCATTCGGCTGTCGAAAGCCTGCATGTCCTCGACAATGGGTACATGTTGCGGTGGGTCACCCAAGCGTATCCCCAAGAACTGTAGACGTACCCGCCTTGATCGTACGGCGATTGAGTTGACACCCATCGAACAGCATTTGTAACCGATAGCAAAGCTCTCGTTTCCTGTCGTCCCTGGAGCGGTATTGATTCAACGGTTTGCAGTTAAGTTCCCTCCTTGGATTGCACCATAGCGGATCGTGATGAAGGATGAAGTCCAATCTGACCCACGCACCTTCGTCACAGGGGATGATCGGTATGTCGTGCTGCCCGACCCTAAACCCGGCATTCCGTCCGACGTAGTGTCTCAAACCCTTTTGGATATTCCTCACTGCTTTCTCGCCATACCACTTGCGTTCACTACTCAGGTCGAACACAATGGGACAAGGATAAACGTTCCTCCAGTCAGGATGACAGAAATGGCAGCCCCGGTCTGGGATCTGGTCAAGTATCCCGCAATGAACATCATCGGCAATGCAAACGTAAGACGGGTTTGTGTACCCTTTCCAATGTTCATTCTCGTCCACGTAGGGGTACAGCCGACGGTCTCCTCGTTGTGGCGTTTTCCTGTCGCACTGAGAGGTGCATCGTTCAATCCTCTCACACACTTCGTGGCTATTTCGCAGTCCCATGGAGAAGATGGATTCTCCGCAAGCATCATATTCTCCTCTGCGTCGATTGATGGCGTACCCGAGCACCTGAGGTGAATCGTACTCCACAGTGCGTATGCCGGTGTGTGCTCCATGAGCGCCGCGCCTGGGCATAGCTTTCGCCTTTGGACGTCTCGAGGAGGAAGAAGCAATGCTTTCGACGTCAACGTCCATTGCCGCTGCCGATGCCTGTTCGTCACGATCGGTTCTCCCTTCCGTGGTCTCCTGTAAGGATAGCACCCGGGGAAATGATGTGATAGCCTCGGACAAAGCCTCGAATGCTTGGAAGATAACCCGCTTCATTTCAGAGTTGCTGTCACAGTTACGGAATCCATGATCTGAGCTTCCGCATAGGACACATAGGTTCTGAGGGTTGTCGGTGTTCACTTCGAATTATTCTCGCATGAGGACCCTTGTCGCATCCCAGGCTCTTGCCCTTGCCATTCTCAAAGCATCGTCTTCGACATTGTCTGCATCGCCTTCTGGTTCTTCATGATCCATGCGAACATCTTCCCGAGGTAGTGTAGCTGCGTCTACACCTTGCGCGAAGTCATAGTGAACCTCATCAACATGCTCCTGCTCCTCGTCCATCCCGAACCTCCCAAGGAGACGCCGGTCAATGGCGGCCGAAGGCACAGCAATGAAGCGTGGTTCTTCGCGAATGAATGCAATGATCTCTTCGACATCTTTTTCCACTCTTTCATCCCTGCATGGTCGGAGGCTTCCTTTTCTTGGGTTGTCTTGCTGCCACCAACTTGATGCTCCCTTTGGCCGAATACAAGTGAAAACACCTCTCGATGCCATAGATGCACGCGTCGATGTCCTGTGGACTTCCCCAAGCCTAGCTTGAACAACGTAGGGTATCGGGAGCCGAAGGTCAATAATCCCAAGGCCAATTCGAACACGTCGCCCAGGAGTTCCTCCGCAGGGTTCTCGCTTCCTCTGAACAATTGTTCTCGTTCTTGTGGAGTCAACAATGTCTTCATGAAACCTGCATACGCGGCGTTCCCTGCATCGTAGTACGCGATGAAGCAAAGATTGTTCTGTGCATCGTATGCTCTGTCCCGTGCCAACTGTCTTGCTTTTCCCCATGACGCGTATGCCACGCTTGTTGCAATGGGGCATCGAAGGCCGCCGTACGAAGACACCACCTTTCCCACGGACATGTAGACGAGAGGGCAGCATTTCTTGATGTACTCAAGCAAATCATCACCCGGTTTCGCCTCCTGAAATTTCTGAACGTAGAGGTACCTTGCACATGCCAGGGCATACGTTTCGCTGTCACGCATTTCCCTGTAATCTGAGGGCATTCTTGTGTGCGCAACCCATGCACCGATCTGGAAACTGTGGTCCTGATGCAAACGAAGTAGAGTCCCGGCAAAAGACACTGGCGCTCTTTTCTTGTTCACACCTTTCGCAAAAGAATGTCTCCGTCGTTGCCCATGCGTTGATGTCTGACGTGCTGTAGTCATCGATCCTGAACCACCTCTGCTCATCAGAGTACGATGGCTCCGGAATGCTCAGGGCAATGTCGAAGTTTTGCCACTCCACATCAGGACGTCTGACCATGTCAACACGCCTGTTCTCCTCTTCGATGGCACGACGTTTGTGAAGTGGAATCCAAGAGTTCAGATTCACCGAGGAGGAAACATGCGCCTGTGTATTGTCAGTGCATATTTCTGTGAACCGCTTGATGTCAGTGGTTTTCCGGTGAAGCGTCTTCTCCCAGGTCCCCAACTGCTGCGTGCTCAGAAAGCAAGCTGCAATCAACTTTTCGCAGAATATCTGTTTCTCGTAGACTGCGAATCCTCTGCGATGGTGTCTCTGCGGTTCGTGCTCCGTGAACTTGTCGACGCTGAACAGGTGTGACCCTGACTGGCTCTCTCTCAACGAGCTCATTATCTTGCACCAAAAGGAGGAGCCATGAACCACGATACATCCTCGGAAACGTAGTTGAAGAGATAGGTAAGCGCCCACGGCGCCATACCCTGCAAAGTTCTGCCTTTGATCAAGAACTTTATGTGAAGCTGCAAGAAAACGCCTATCGTGATTGATCATTACGATGGGAGGCCTGGGAACCAAGCTCAGGATCTTGTCGAAGTGTTTGATGTAGACATCCTTCAAGATCCGCTCCATGTTCTCCTGTGCTTGCAAGGACGACTCGTGTAGCGGCACCGCAAGGTTCTCATGGACGATGGCTTGCAGGCAGAGGTGAATGTGTATGGTCACCATTGATCTTTGTTCCTGTGGCATTCTTTCGAGATTGTCAATGAGGTTATTGAAGACCTTCTGCGTCTCGGAGAAGTTGACCACGGTGCTGATCGTTGGCGAAGACCTGACGAACTGACCCCACCCTTTGCTCATCATCTCGTTCTGAAGTGGAAAATGTGTTGCTCCGTTCTTGGCGTACAACTCGAAGTCGGTACACAAGATGGTAGGCTGTGACCGTATCGTTGTGGCGTCGGGACTCCCACCAACGGAAAGCTTCGATCGCGTCTCTTTTGCTGCTTCAATAGCTTGTTGTCGATGATGGGCGACTTCCGCTTCATGTCTTTCTCTGTCAGATGGCATGATGATCTCCCTTTCCGCATCAGGATCTATGAGGTCCTCCTCAGTGTTGACGAGAGCCGCGACCGTGAGCATTGCTGGCGTAGGTAGGTTCTCGCATGGATGCAAGTCACAACCATGATAAAGCCTGGAATACATCTTCAACCAGTCTGTAGTTCCCAGCTTCACGTAGACCTTGAGCACCAAGCCGTAGTCGGGGTTCTGCGTGACAGATTGAATCCTTGCCAGATAGGTCACCAGACGTCTGACGTAATGCTCGATCGGGGTAGTTCCGAGTTCCTCATTTTGAATATACTTCGGTGTCTCATCATATGCCGCTGGAAACACATCCGGTTGTGCCACTGAGCAGTACAACTTGGCCCTGCAAATGGCTGTATTCTCCTTCGAAAAGCAAAAGATGTACTCCGTGGTGCCCTCGGGATAGGGGACTTCTGCCCATTGAACCAGGGATTCTTCTGCCTGAGGTGGTTGCTGTGACGATGAGGAAGAAGCCTGCTGGCTGCCCCAAGGGCACGCCGAGCTAGGCTGACTCCCTTGCTGCCCAGTTTCGTTGGGCGCGTCTCCCGTCCTTGCCCTCTTCGGTCCATACGCTGGAGTTGCCTGTGGAGTCGATGAAGGTGCCGACGCTGCAGCTGCGGCTGCGTCTCCCCAAGGTACATCCCCCGATGGATCATCATGCGAAGGATGTTCAGGACCTTGCGGGATGTTCTGAGTGCGTGGTCTAGCTTCTCGGATAATTCGTCCAGTGGCATATACCCATTCCGGATGACGTGAGGGATTCGGTGGAAAATTTCTGTCGCCGCTTCGCAATGCAACCGGTTTCTCCGCACGGTTCAACTCGTCTTCCCAAACCTCAATGTCATCCCTGACGTCATACATGAGCCTTGTAGCCTCCTCGATGTTGTTCACGACATACGTTTCATTGAAGAAGTTGGGACTTGTGACAGTTTCAATCGCTGTGGTTTCCGAATTGAATCGGTCGCCGGACATGTCCTCACTGATCTTGTCGGATGCGAAGTCCAAGCCATCTCTTATGGCGCTGGGGTCAGCAAAGAGCTCTGCAGTGAATTTGAAGCGAACAGCGATGTCGGCTACAGTTTGACGGCATGTAGATGCCACCCTCTTGAGTTCCGACAGCACATCCTTGTACGCTTTCTGCTAGAACTCATCAGTTGCTGAGTAACCCATGCCTTGATCATCTCGCGAAACCTGTGATCAGAGTTGCCATTGACGGGTTGTGCAGCGCTAATGAATGCAATGAACAACGGTGGTGCCTGGTACTTGATCCATTGGTGAATCAGGTCGTTGCCAACCACTTTGCCCGCCACGATCTTCGTCGGCATTTCTCTGTTTCCAGCGTTCAGACTAAATACTTGAACACGTTCAGCTTGCCCAGAAATTGGTGCGGAGCCATGTTCTCAGGTGCCACATCAATAAATTGAAAAGGAACATCTTCGCCCGCGCTGGCCATGGCTTCGGGTTAGGATGGTATCTCAATAGATGCCCAATCCTATCCTCGGTTTCCCGGTTCCACCGTATCCCAAGGATGCCGGCTTCCCCGTTCCACCGATCCTCAGACCTTAGTTGTTGGCGGGGCGAGACCTGGAAGTACAGGCCTCAGTGCATGCGCTGTCACTCCTACCATTGCGTGAGCCATGCGTAACCTTAGCACTCTCATGATGTCCTGACTCAACACTGCGACACAACATGCTGCGGACATTCGAAGCAATCACTGACCATGCTCTGCAAATGCAATTATGCAAACTGCATCCACTCATGCTGTCGGCGTTTCGGGGAACATACTCTTCAACGCACTTAGAATCAAAGAAATTGGATATCACGCAACAACGTCCAGTCAATCTTCCTGTAGCATCAACGTACTCGGCAGCCTTGACTCTGTGAACCTTTGACCCAAGAAGAGCGTGCAGTTCAGGCCATGACCAACATGAACACGTCGACGGCATGTCAAGAGAAAAATAGACATGTGGCGATTCCGTTAACTTCTTGAGTCGGCGTTTCAGAGACTTCAGGACCTCCCGGCAAGTTTTGTCCCCCCCAGGTGACCCAGCCCCGTGTGCACCGGTACCGCCCTTGAGGACAGAACCATCGCCTGATCGCCTAAGCGACGCTGTAAACAGCACAGGCGATTGCACTTTGTTGCCGCGCAATTTGTTGATTTTCTTCGCCAGTTCATCTTCCTGAGTAGCAGACTTGATGGGCCCGTCGAGCGCAATGTGCGCATGGCGATCCAACCCTTCGGAGGTGGCATCTTTATTGAGCCGGAACTCGACGACTACGCCGCCAGGTTTCTTAGGCCCTTTTGCCGGCATCGACACGAGCTTGCCATCACCTGCCTCAAAGGCAAGGGACTTGAGCAGTCTCTTCGATACCTGGCTCGTCCTCACCTCTCTGTTACTCAGATCATCAAAGTCATGCTCTTCGGCATGCTTGTGTTTTGACTTGCAGCGATCTGAAGGTTTCGACTCCAGTGAAGTGTTGGCAGTGAAGAACTCCCATTCCTTGTTGCAATACTTTACGCATGGCTGTCCTTGATGGTCATTACCCATCAATCTCTGGCCGTGAGAACACCCGTCCAAGACGACGTGTCTCCATGCCTCGCCCTTGGGTGCTGCTTGGATTCGGCAATCTGAGCTTCGGGCGGAATCTCAACGACTACCTGAGTTCCTGACTTCGCTGCAGTAAGGGCAATTCTTTGGACGACCTCCCCCCATGGGTAATTCGTGCCCTTGGAGAGATTTTCGAAGATCCCGAGGTCATAGTTGTTGTACTTGGTGAAGCCCCGGTCTATCCATGACGCTCCGCCTAGGATTCCTGCTCCCACGAAAACCGCCGAATTCTTGGATCCCACAAGACGTTGTTGGAGCACGTCGTAGAGGTACCCGCGCATAGCGTCGTCCGGTTGCCTGCCCGCACACAGTATGTTGAGCTGCTTTTGGGGATCGTAATGCTGATCTAGGTCATGATGCTTCATGCCATCGATGCCCGGCGCATACTCGTTCCACCAATTGTCGTGGTCCACACCAGCAAGCATCCAAATGGATACCCCTTTGGGTGCGTCGACGATTTTAATCTTCACTTTGACGTCACTTCGCTCATCCTTGTGCACGTGCAATAACTTCTCGCGTAACCCATCGTTGTGATCTTTGAACTCAACCACGTGAGGCACAATGGCTTTGTTGTAGTTTGGCACCTCGTGTTCTCGACATTTTCGTGACATATTCTCCCATACTTCCTCGATTACTCGTGTCCACAACATTGAGCCGTGATAAGGAATTCGTTGTGTGACATCGACCATTCCATCGAAGAGGCAATGTGAAGCCCTGGTACCCCCCATGGACGGCGCGAGCCAGCGCGGCGACCACCGCACGCCATTGAGGCGACAGGGCGCGCGCAAAACTCCGACCGCACGGGTACGTAGCTTCACAAGGCGCTGCCAAAGTGACCGCAGGGGCTGAGGCCAACGTCTGGCGAACGGGGTGATATTGGACGCAGCCCGCTCCACGTAGCGATCAAACTTGACAGGCGACTG